AAAGAGCCAGCATTTCCGTGATGTCTGTTTAAGGCTTTTATGCTGACACAAATGACAGTTTTTTAAGGGTAAACGCACCCGTGCCATGAAGATAAAGACACAAAAACATGTGACCTGGAATTTTTTGAGCTTTGCTTTAATCTTCTGTGGTTAACCACAATAATCCTAAAGTCAGCTTAATGCATTTTAAAACTGAGGAACAAAAAAGGAGAAGAAGATTAAACGCAGAAAACAGGAAGTAAGAAAGAGTCAAGATGTGACTGTTCACACTTTTTATGTGTTCGATCATCTGAGAAATAAAATGAAAATCTTTGCCTCGGGCATTATGTGAAACTTCTGAAACCTTTAACTTTACTGAAGCAAATGTTGAAGCACGAGTAAGAACAAGAGATGCACCAGTATCATTGTCTTCCTCACTAACTTCAGTGAAACCAGTAAATCTGTTTGTACAGAAGAAGAGTTTGTTCCTCTGTGTCAGCTTTATTTGACTCCTGTGAGCTCCTTAATGTAAAGCCTGTTGCTGATGCTGCGTGAACGTCTGAAATCAGCAGCTGTTTCACTTAAGGCACATGTGACCAAATTAACATACATACCTCCATCTCCTCCCAGCTATATTATATATTAATATATATATCCTATATTAACATATATCCCAGCATGCACTGGAGGCCTGTAGGCTGTCAGATATTGGATTAGGGTTATTCTCTGCATTCATGAAGGTGTTTAATGTTTTAAGCTATGATATCCACACATTGCTTAGCTGGAACAATAAAACTCCTGCTCTGACTTCCTTTTTTAAAAATATCTTTAGACATGAACAGAAGAAACTGATGCACCTATTAAAGCACCAGAGTTGCAAAAAATAATTTTCTTAAGTGAGAGCAGTAAGATGTTTCTTCTGGTTTTGTTCAGCATTTGCAGTAATGACCTTCTCTGCGGTTCACACATGGAGACGTCTTTTTGGAATTGGAAGTTATTGCGTCTTTCTGCGTCAGCTGATAGAGTCATATGATGGAGTCATGTGACGCAGTTCATTTGAGTCAGCAGCAAATTAGCAGGATTCATTTACAGCAGGATGAAGATGTTTCTACTGTCTCTGCTACTTGTGAACGGTACTGTTACCTCCAATTATTCGTTTTAACATTAATGATAATTTTACTGTATTTTACATGAGGCAAATGATATTACTGTCATTTTTATAAAATGTTGATTGTGATATGTAGAACTTATAATCTGTTATATATTTAAAACTATAAACTATTGTTACACAAATTATTTCAAGCAAAATGGAAACAATGGGGATGATTAATTTCATCAATATAGTTCATGGCTTGTTGCTTAATGGCTTATTATGTGTTGTCATTAAGAAGTTATGAGGGTTAAAAAATGTGTTTAATGCTCTAAATCTGGAATGTAGCAACTTTATGTAGCACCAAAACTAGCACAGAGTGGATCTGGTTTAATTTGATGCCGCAGGACTTAAGACACAGTAGAGAAATCAGAGTGTGTCCAGTGAAGGACTGGACCAGTACATGTGAAGCAATGTACCAGGAGCACCTCTGCACCTTCTACAGCTTGGATCCACCTCTGCATATATGCACGTCTACTTAGATCTGGACCAGTGCTCCCCATGATCTTAAATTGAATAAGCATGTTTCGAACACACACTGCTATATTGTAAAGTTGGCCAAGGATAGAATACCACAGTTGATCTCTGATATGAATGTTAAGGTCTTTTTCTAATTTAGTCTTAATGAAAGCTACTGGAGAACATTGTAAATTGTAAATGAAATAGTAAAGAACTGATGTTCGTTTGAGAATTAAAAAATCATCTACAGAACCGTCTGTTTTGAGGGAATCGTACTGTCACTGTCTGCACATAGTGTGTGACCTGTAAAAAGCAAAAACACTGAAGAGCAGCAGTGCCAAAACTTGCAAATTGTCCATCTACATATAAGTCTGCAAAGGATTTTAGACCCTTTCTGTGCCAGATGTGAAACACCGTCACTGAAGGAAAAAACAATTAATTTGCTCCAATTGGGCTTTGAAGTGAAAAAGACTGGCGGCCAATACTCTTCCTAAACTGGGACCAAATTCTAAGAGATTGATGGACTACTCTATTATTACTAGGCAAGAGAAAGTGATAAGCCTAAAGTCACAGGTAAAGAAACCATGGTGACCCAAACTGGTGATGACAGTTCAAGATTGTAGTGTCACCAATATAATGCATCATAAAACAGAGTAATATCCCATTCCTGATATTTGTGGCCCAATGGTAGTACTGGAAATTGGAAAGGGCTAAGCCTCCCAGAGGCTTGGGTTTTTGAAGAAGAGCTTTCCTCAGTTTTAGATGTTTACCATTCCAAATAAATAATTGATTAAGAAATCCAGAGATTTAAAAAAGGATTTGAGAATTAGGACTGGAAGGCATTCAAATACATATAGAAATGTTGGTACTAGCATCATTTTTACACTGTGTCAAATCCCCAACTCTTTGACCTTCAGGCTGAAGGAAGAACAACACTCGGTGTTTAATGCTGAATCAACAATCTCTTTAATCCATACAATTCTCATTATTCCATACAAACCCTTTAAGCATTACAAACGTCTGGACAGGAGATATGCACAGGAGGGTGTCCGGCAAAATCTCGAAGTGTCCAAGTGACCATTTCTCACATTCTTATAGCTTTGGCCCCCCTCCAAACTAAGCATTCGCATTCTTTCTCTCTCTCTCAGTGAGCCCAAGTCATGACCTTGGCTTCCTGTTTTTCTCCTCCTGTATGAGATGCAGTATGTTCTGTTCTCTTTGTAATCAGAAAAGCAAGGCCATGATTCTCTGCAAACAGTATTTCTTATAAATCAGCAGTATAATGCATCATAAAACAGTGTAATATCCCATTCCTTTTTTTCCCAGAATAAACAATCAATTACAATCAAACAATCAATCTGCTGGTCCCTCTCTAGTCTAAACAACAGTGTTTCAGTAACTTTCCACTAGAAGTTGACCCCCTGTTTTCTACTTTCTCCCAGGTAAGCGTGAGCGAGAGTCTACAGCATTCTACCCCCCAAGGACAAGTAGTCAAATGCCTTTATTTTCAGGGCTGTGTCCACTTAATACTACACTATATGGTTATATGGCATTTTAGTCAATATAAAGCATAGAATTGAGGCACTTCAAATATTTCCACAACTGTTAATCCTGCCCATTGAAGACAAACATGATGGTGTAGAGCCTAAAATGGTAAGAATAGGGACAATTAGTTAATACTGAAGCAGACCATGTTTTTTTTTTTTTTTAGTTTTTTTTAAATAAAAGTCTGTAAAAAATCAATTTGGGCCTGGAGATTTCCTGGATTTTCTCATTATTTTATTTTTATTTTATTTTATTTTAATTATTATTAATATTTTTATTTTTATTATTATTATTATTTTATTAACTGTTTTAAACTTCAGCTTTGTCTTGACCAAGTTACTGACCAATTACAAGTAGGTTGCAAGCAAATGATTTAATGAATGTTGAGATGGTGTTAATCATATACATATGACCTTCACAGTCACCGGACCTTAACCCAGCTCAAACCATCATCATCAAAACATTAAATAAGAGGATGTCTTGGGTAGGAATGATTTTTACATCCTCCAGGAGGATAACAAGAATGTGACGAATGCATGCAGAGGAGACTGATGGAGGACCAACACTTGCTGGTTTTGCTGTCATTTGTTTTATTTAATGGTCCATGTTATATTCCCAGTGCTCCAGGCTTGTCAAATCTAAAACCAGTATTTGAATACATTCAATCTGTTTGAGTTTGATTTTACCAGTTACAATGACATTAAAGTCATTAACTTTAGTCTTGGAACCTGAAAGGAATCTGTATGTTTCCCTGGTTGAACTGGTGCACTCAGACTGGACTATTCCCATTTCCGAATTTCGACATGTGCAGATTGAATGCTCTTTGATTTCAGTATTTCTTGCCCCTATAAATAAATTACCTGCAAACAACCTCAAAATATGGAGCTAATTTGTGTTTTTCTATGTGCTCACAGTTTCCCAGGCTGTGGTGGTGGAGGTGAATGAGGGGAAAATGTTTGTCCTGTTACCCTGCCAGTACTCAGGAGTTATATTTAAGAACCACACAGTGATGTGGACTCGCAATGATCTTAATCCCAAAACTGTCCACCTACAACGAGAAGGAGGAGATGATCTTAGAGAACAAAACCAGCGCTACAGCGAGCGCACATCAATGAGACCTGATGCTCTGGACTCTGGAGACTTCAACCTCACTCTGAGAAAACCAACAGAGTCTCACAGTGGAGAATACACCTGCTCCATCAGTGATGGACAAGAAGAACTGATAGTGAGACACATATGGCTGCAAGTCAAAGGTCATAAATAAATGACACCTGCTGTAACCACAGATCAAAGGCTAATGCCAGACTCAGGTTAAAATATGTTGGATGATATTAATTTTCTGTTGTTTTTCTACCAGCAGGATCTGTGTTCATGGAGTGGTTTATGATAACTTTATTCTGTGTTGTGGTCATCCTTGTTTGCATAGCTTATGTCTGCGGTGCTCTCAGGAATGAAGCATTACAACACAGAGCAGAGAAGTAATGTGAGTCTGTGTTGTTCTGTTGTATGACTGCATTCATGTTTAGGGGTTTAGCCGAACAGACACATATTCTGCTGCTTTCCTCTCCGTTCTTTAGGAAATGTAAGTGGAAAGGCTTGCTCTGCTCCACAGCTGACCTGCCTCAGGAAACTACAGTGGACTGGAGGTGCTCAAACTACAAACATGGCTGTCCACATCTGATGGTTTAACTGGCATGCTAAAAACAGCCAAAGTGAAAATGATTCAGATCTGTTAACCTGAATATAT